GCAGTGGACCATGCTCCTAATCACTATACTATACGGACTTTTCAGAGAGACTTAGTTGGAATGGAGAACCATTGTCACAATCCTGTGTAAATTACTCTTTGTCCTTAAAGTGCGCAAGCAAATTGCTGCTTTTTCTTTTAAAAAAAAAAAAGATTTTATTTATTTTCAGAGAGAGGGGAAGTGAGGGAGAGAAACATCGCTGTGTGGTTGCGTCTCACGTGCCTCCTGCCGGGGACCTGGCCTGCAACCCAGGAATGGGCCGTGACTGGGAATCAAACCAGTGACCCTTCAGTTCACAAGCCGGTGCTCAATCCACTGAGCCACACCAGCCAGGGCAAATCACTGCTCTTTCTTTCACAGCTGACCATCCACCTTTATGCATCTATTTGTGCAGAGGTTCCGCCCTGACCTGGATCTCCTGAAAACCTCCACAGTCAGTCTACAATTATGAGTATAGAATTGCCTGTAAGTCCAGTATATTAAGGGGCCTAGCTTTGAAGTCACAAGGGTTCCCACCTGTGAGAGCTGAGAGTTCAAACTGCTGTGCAAACTTCTATGCACAGTATACGAGACCCTTCACGAACTGGCCCTACCTTACTTTGCGCGTGTCTCCTAGTACAACTGTCCCCCACCCCATTCTCTGCTCTAGTCACACTGAGCACACACTACTCTTTCAAGATGCTGAACCTCAGCACGTGCTTATATGCTCTCCCTACTGCCCTTTATCTAGCAGGCGAAGCACCTCCTATCTGTTAAGGTTATGCGAGTAATTACCACCCAATTTGATAAGCACGCTGATCGACATAAACTACAATGTACAGAAGAAATTCTGAAGGGGAGGGAGGTTCATTCTTGCTGAGGGACTGGTGGGGGGGGGATGGTGGCGGAGAGGAGAGACTTGAAAGCTTCATACAGTAAATGACATTTGAGCTGAGTCTTTTTTTAAAAAATATTTTATTTATTTATTTTTAGAGGGGAAGGGAGGGAGAAAGAGAGGGAGAGAAACCTCAATGTGTGGTTGCCTCTCACGCTCCCTACTGGGGACCTGGCCTGCAACCCAGGCATGGGCCCTGACTGGGAATCGAACCAGTGACCCTTTGCTTTGCAGGCCAGTGCTCAATCCACTGAGCCACACCAGCCAGGGCTGAGTCTTGAATGATTAGGAATCGGCCAGTCAAGGAAGGGGAAGGAAATATCCAAATTGTCTTTGGCTCCTTTACCTCCCCACACTCAGACATCAAGTCCTGTTGTAGGTTATACATCCAAAATGCCTCTCCCATCTGTCTTGTCTTATTCCTTGCGCCACTGTCCTGATCTTTTGTTAAAATATTTTATTTATTTATTTTTAGGGAGAGGGGAAAGGAGGGAGAGAGGGAGAAAAACGTCAGCGTGTGGTTGCCTCTCGCGCACCCCCTACCGAGGACCTGACCTGCAAATTGAACTGTCAACCTTTTAGTTCACAGGCCTGCACTCAATCTACCGAGCCACACCAGCCAGGGCACTGTCCTAGTCTTATAGGCCTTGCTTGGGTTATACAGAGCTGATTGTTCTGCCTCTTCTCTTCCCAATCCCTAATCTACTTTCCATGTGGCTGTGGGGAGTGAGCTCCCAAACCACAAATCTGATACTGGCACTCCCCCCGTGAAAACTCTTAACAGGCCCTAACCAGCGTGGCTCCATGGGTTGAGGGCCATCCCACAAAGCAAAGGGTCAGCGGTTTGATTTCCAGTCAGGGCACATGCCTGGTTGTGGGCTAGGTCTCCGGTTGGGGGCGTTCGAGAGACGGTTGATCGATGTTTCTCTTGCACGTGAATGTTTCTCTCCCTTTCTAACTCCTTCCCTTCTCCTCTCTCTAAAAATAAATCAATAAAATCTAAAAAAAACCTCAAACCCCTTAATGGTTTCTACTACCTCTAGGACAGTCTTAACCCCTTATAGTGACATATAAGGCCCATAATAAGCTGGCCATAATTTATCTTTCCCACCTCCCCTCTAGCCATTCCACTCCTTAAACTCTCCACAGCCGATGATTGGTTTAAATCTGAAGACAGCACCACGCCCTTTCAGATACCGTGTTTTTTGCACGCTTTATTCTCCTTCCCTAGAAGGGCCCAATCCTTTTCCCCACCTGACAGGTTCTACCTGGACTAGTCCAACGATCAAAGGGGGCCCAGCTTGGAGGGTATTTACAGCCCCTTGCCTACCATACATTAGGCCTGGCTTTTAGTTAGTGTGGAATCAGTAAATGGAACAGGCGTTCCCCTCTAGCTGCCACTGTGTGCACCCAGGCTATCTGATTGGGCCTCTGAATCAGTTCATGGTTGCCATGCCAATTCTCTATGGATACTGCAGCCGGCTTTGAAATCCCATCTCAGCTGGCTGGGACCTTAACTGCTTGCCTAGTTCAGCCTGTCCCTTCATCCAGGAGCTGACTCTGTCCCTCTGCTCCCAGCTCCTGATAGCTCTGCACACAGGTGCCTCTAAAAGACCATAAACGTCCCTAAAAGCACCAGTGTCATGTGTGAGAGTGTGTTAGAAATCCTGTTAATATTTGGCTTTTTCTGACCCTTTTCAAAGACCCCTAGAATATTGACCCTTAGATGGATCATGCTCGAGAGAAGTTTGCAACACCTCTTGGACTTTGCAGTTTGGATGGCTGTCTGTTCCCTGGGGAAGGCAACCTTATTATTGCCAAGTTCTTTCCACGAGCTACAGCCTAGCTGAACCAGCCTCCCTCCTTTCTGGCTGCAAGTTTTAACATGCCTTAAGGCCATGGCCTTTAGTGCCTCTGATGCTATTTTACCTTTACAGTTTCTAATCAGCTTTTGTGCACGTCTCCTTTGATTCTCAAAGAAGCTGTGTGAGAGAGGTAGAAAGGCTACTATTGACCCTATATTGCATATGAGGAAACTGCGACTCAGAGAGGGTAATTATAATGTGTCCAAGGGGACAGAGCTCATAAATGGAGACTCAGGTGTCCTGATTCCAGTGTTCTCCTCACTACCCCCGTCACTCAGTACATCGCCTCCTGGGTGGCAGGGATTAAGCCCCACTTGCCTCCTGATTTTCTTCGTTACAGTCTTGTGAGCAGAGCCGCAAATAAAAACATCAGTCCCGGGGTTACACCTATTCTCCCCCGCCCCACCCCCGCGGCAGTGCGGCAGTGCGTACACTGGCTCCCTCAAGCCTCTTTCGGCCTCCTCCCACCTGGTTCAAGGGACACGAGAGTAAGTGTCCTTTGGGCTGGAACACTCAGCTGGGTATCTTTATTGTCCCACCACTGCCCCCTGGAGAGGATAGCCCTGATCTGGAGTTGGAGCCTCTTTCCAAAGGGGATTTAGAGAATCTTTTGAAAGGAAAGGAGATTTCTAGGATGATGGTGGATTTAGCATTTCTCAGTATGGGGTGGACATGAGGTTCCTCCGTGGAGTCAGGGTGGAATTTAAAAAAAGAAAACCTTTCTCTTGATGGCCTTTTGGACAGAGCGGAGATGCTCTGTGTACGTTATGTTGTGTTGTGTTGTGCTGTGTCGTGTTGTGTTGTGCATGGGGAGAGGATGGGTTTCCAGAGGAAAAAGCATCTCTCTCATCATGAGGGGGGTGTGAACCTCTCTGACAGGGTACTTGCTGGTTTCTAAGGAGCAAGGAAATTTCTGGCAGGAAAGGAATGTGTCTCTTTTAAGAGAGGGGGAAGCCCTCTCTCAGATAGCTGAATGTGGGGGAAAGGACTACTCACTGTCTCTTTTTTTTTCTAAAGGAGGAACAGCCTCCAAGGAGGAAAGAAAGCTTCCATGCTCTCTGTAGGAAGGAGAGACTGTTTCTAGAAGAGAGCAATTGTGATCAGATGTTCTCTTCCTTTCTACACTTCCCACGTGGAGTCAGCGCCCTCTGAGAGGGAGTGGCAAATCAATTTTTTTTTTTTTTATTGTTAGAAGGTAGGAAAGCTAAGGAGAGAAATTTGCTCTCGGGGAAACTTACTCTGATGGGCTACGGGTGATGCTGGGGAAGACTTTTCAGAATCCCAGAGGCGCACAGTGTTCAAGGGAGCTTAGAGATGTGCGAGGCCAGCCCTGTTTGCTCACAAGGAAACTGAGGCTTGGGGAAGGCAATGTCTTGCTAATAAGTGACAGAAGCAGGACTAGACCCCAGCTTTGTCAAGTCCTAAGCCTGGGCCTTTTCCCAGCACGGCTGACGTGGGGAGGGGAGGCTACCAGACGCTTTGGGGAGTGATGCTGGCGAGGAGACTGTTGCTATGCAATGTTTGACCTGCGGTGGAGAAGTCTCTGGGGTGGGCAGCATTGATCCCTGTGGGAAGGGAACTGGGGAGAAGGGGAGAATTAGGGGCTAGGTCCAGAGAAAAGGGGTCAAGGTCACCGCACAAATGGGTGGGAGCTTGGGGGGCATTAGTTCGCCTAGAATGCTGAATTTCAAGCCAGAGGAAGGCAACTCCTTCTCCCAGGAGTGCAGAGGAGGGAGCTTCACCAAAGTACTAAGGGAATGTGCTCCTCTCCGAGACCTGCAAAATTTCTCTATCATTTCCTGTTTTTCCAGAGGGAGTTGTCATTTTAATCTTTTCAAAGCCAGAGGAGGGGCCCCAAGGAAACTTTCTGAGATAATGTTAGTCTTTTATAATACATTATGGTCACATTTGCAAAACTGTACACAATGACCAAAATTCAAGAAGCTGTATACTTAAAATGGATAAAAAATAAATAAAATTAGAGTAAGGGAGTAAGTGAGACCCTAATAAAGCTGTTATTAAAAAACAAAACGAAAAAGCCCCCCAAAGGCAAAACAACAGAACCCAGGAGGGAACAGCTCAAGGTCTGGTTTTGCAGGCCAGGAGGGCGGAGGCTCCGTATTTGCAACTTTGGCTTCTCAAATCGCTGTGTCTTTTAGCCCACTCCTTTCTTGATCAGCAAAAGTCAAGGCCAGCTCGGCCAGGGGGAGGCCAGAAGTTGCAGGAGAAAGAACTTGACAAACACACAAGCCACCTCTTCGTTTACTGTAAAATCCTGTTTAATGTGTAACATTTCAGGCAGAGAGAGGCCTTGGGGACTAGAGGCAGAGGGAGCCCAGACCAACCCCCACTCCAATTTATCTGCCTGCTTCTCTCTCCCTCCCTAACTCCTCCACCCCAGACTCGACCTCCTTTTCCTTGAGGCCGCAAGCGCTGCTCCTCCTTTTCTTGCTCCCCTCCCTTCTCCACCCACAGGCCCACAGCACCCTCCCTGCGCTGCACTGGCTCCATTCCCTCCTCACTGATGTGACTCCAGAAATAGGATACCTGACAGCACAGGGTTAAGATTAGTTTCATCGTTGGAGATGCTGTCAGAGCATCCTATGTCTCATCCCCAGTGGTCCCAGGGAGATGGAGAGGGAAGAGGAAGGAGAACAGACCACAAGAGCCGCCCACACCCCCAATAACCTTGAGCACTGGCTTCTGTGGCCTCAGGCTCCCCACCCCTTCAGCACCTCAGACGGAAAGCCCCGCGGGAGGAAGGGGAGCCGGGAGGGCAGGGTGGTTTGAATGGAGCTCTCCCTGGCAGGCCATGGCCTGTGCACCGGCAGGGGAGAAGGAGGCGCAGGCCTGGGGCAGGGTGGGGGGCGGGATGGGACGTTGCCTGGTATGTGGCATCAGCAGGCAGAGCAACGGTCGCTCTTCTCAGCCAGCCCGGCCCCAGTGCCGGGGCTGCGTCGCAGTATGTCTTTCAGGGAGCCGTCCTGCTCACTCAGCAGCTTGTTGATCTCATTCTGCTTGTATTCAGGTGAGAGGCGGTGGCCAAAGCCCGAGCCCTTGCGGGAGGGCGGATTGGAGCGTTGCCGGGCTCGGCGGGCACAGGCCCGGATGACGAGGTACACCACTTCTGCCACGTTGAGGACGATGCAGATGCCGGAGGCGACCAGCATGAAGACGGTGAAGACGGTTTTCTCCGTGGGGCGGGACACGAAGCAGTCCACTGTGTTGGGGCAGGGGTAGGCCTCACACTTGACAAGCCGCACCATGGCGTAGCCCGGGTAGAGCAGATAAAAGACATACATGAAGGCAGCCTCAAACAGCAGCCGGAAGACCACACTGATGACATAGGTCCACCACAGTGTCCCTGAGATGTGGAACTTGTGCCTCTTCACCTCCTCCAGGTGGAGGGGGTCCGCGTGGCCCTCAAGTCGCAGCATTTTCTTTTCGATGTGCTGCTGGTGAGCCACGTGCATGGCCACGAGGAGAGCTGGGGTGGAAACCAAGATGAGCTGCAGAGACCACAGACGCACATGGGAAATGGGGAAAAAATGGTCGTAGCAGACGCTGTTGCAGCCAGGCTGGAGGGTGTTGCAGATGAAGGAAGACTTCTCGTCACCCCACACGCTCTCTGCAGCCACCACCAGCACCATGATTCTGAAGATGAAGATGACTGAGAGCCATATTCGGCCAATGGCAGTAGAATGCCGGTTCACGCCGCTGAGCAAGGTGTACAAGCCCGTCCAGTTCATCCTGCCTCATTCACACCTGCAACACACGAGCCACAAAGCGAGCTGTCAGAGAGCTGGGGCAGAAGGCCGGCCGCCATAACACCACCTGACAGCCCCCAGCCCTTTCAAGAACCAGTGACAGGAAAGGAAAACGGCGTCACGGCTTTCCTCATCGCCCATCTCCCTTGCCAGCCACTCCTCCTCCTCTTCCTCCTCACCCTCCTCCTCCTCCTCCTCATTCACTCACTCCACTTGACTTCCCTGAGCCCCATCTCCCTGTTTTCCTTTCATCCGACATTCTTCCCTCTCTCGCCCCCTTTCTTTGCCACGCCCATCCTGTTCAGCCCTCAGCCATCCTCTTTAGCTCCCCATCCTCCAGCTCCTTAACTCTGGACCTGGGGCAACCCCACAGAGCCCTGTTACCTTGGGGAGTGCCTATCCCTGAGGCCACCCAGACAGGTCCCCTATGGTCTCATGTCTGTGCTGGGGGAGTGGTCCCTGGGTCCGCGCCTGCGTCCCAATTCATCACCGCCCGGTGCTGGGGAGTCATATGCTGCTTTATACCCAGTGTCCGCACAATGGGACCTTTGTGGGGCTCTGAACAACGCCCTTTAGAATTCAGATCAAACGCCCTGACTTCCGCCCACCCTACACACAGAGCACTTGTGTCCCAGCGCCGGACACCCAGCCTGCACCCACCTGTTCTGTGCCCGCCCGGTCCATCGCCGCACCCGCCCCATAGCCCCACCAGAAGAATGGTCCCGGTGGAGGGGGAGGAGATGGAACAAAGACAGGTACATGTAAGAGGGGGCCCAAGGGAACCAGGACGCTCTTGGCTGAGGCTCTTCCCCATGACCCTCCTAGAAACTTAGGGCCCGTGGGATTTTTCCTAGGCTTAGATCCCCTCTACGGTATGGGTGAGCTAGAGGAGAGGAAAGGGAGCTCATATTTATCAAGCCAGGAACTGTGTGAGGCATTTTCCCGTGCATTCTTTCTTTTGACCCACTTAGCCAGCCCCTAAGGAGTGTTACCCTACTCTTTCCACAGGAGGAAGCTACAGCTCAGATAAGTTAAGCCACTCACTCAAGGTCCCACAGCTCGAAAGTGGACAACTTAAGATGAGACACAAAAGGAGCTGAAGCAGAAATCTAGGCTTTTTCCACAGTATACTCATGCTTTTGCAGACGGCGTCAGCAAAAGCCAAGGCGAGCCGATAGTAACGACAACAACGCCCAGGCTAATGCTACCCATAAAAGCACAAGCAACATGAAAGCTGTTGACCTGTGAATAAATTCCAAGTCTAGTGCCATGGAGCGTACTGTGACCACCCTCCTTGAGCTTCTGTAAAGGGAACCCGCACAGAGGGCAGAGAGATGGGCACATGATGGGAATAAGCCAGAAGGAGAAACATAGAGGTAAGCAATCAAATAGAATGTTAGGAGATGGAATCCTGATTCTGTACCTAACGAATGGGCTGCTGACTGACCTTCCCTGAGCCTGCTTGCTCATCTACAAACGGCCTTAATATCCAGGGCTACTGTGAGCTTCAATGAAGAAACTCGCAAAAGGTCTTAGCCCAGCTCCGCTTGCACTGTTGCTGATCAAGGGAAGTAAGAACCTTACCAGGAAGAAAAACCAATGTGGTTTGGGGGAACTAAGTGGGCTGCCAAACCCAATATCCCTCTTTTTTCTTCCCAATGCTGTTGTTGACCTATGGTGTCCATCTGAGATAGAACAGGCTGTTCCTTTGCTGCCCTGCCTCCAATATCAACTGTACACTGCAACCTTCTGGTTTCCCAAGCTTGCCAATTGCTCTAGGGAACAGCCAATTGCTCTATCCCTTAGGTAGGCAAGAAGGCCTCCTCCTACCTCCCACCACTTCTGCCATAAAGTTGTAAGGAGGTCATGCTGAAAGCAGGGAAGTAGATGTGAGGGGAACACAGGCCTGTACTTGTAGGAAATGCAGGGCATTTCCTGCCACCAGCTCAGGGACAGTGGTTGTGGCAGAAGCCCCGTCTCCAGTTCTGGGTGGTTCTCTCTGTTTCAGGGGGGAAGGGGTGAGGTATTAGCAATTGGAGAAGTTGGGGAATGAGAAAAAAGAGACTAGGGGATGAAGAGATGGTCCACAGGACATAGATTGCTTCTTTGAACAAGGTTTCTTCATTTAACTTAAAAATGATTAATGAGTTTATGCTGTGGGCCTAAGCCAGCGTGGGGACGCAGGGACACAGAGGCCTTTCCCCACAAGCCTCAGGTTCTGAAGGCAGAGCTGTCACAGGAGGCACCACAGTTAACTATAAAGAAGTGTTCCATCTGGGCCCTGGTTGGTGTGGCTCAGTGGACTGAGCGCCGGCCTGCGAACCAAAGAGTCGCCGGTTCGATTCCCAGTCAGGGCACATGCCTGGGTTGCAGGCCAGGTCCCCAGTAGGGAGCGCACAAGAGGCAACCACACATTGATGTTTCTCTCCCTCTCTCCTCCATTCCTTCCTCTCTGTCTAAAAAGAAATAAAAAAGAAATGTTTCATCCAGTGAGACATTAGATTCTAACACATGTGGTCAAGGAACACTGAGAATAATTGTTTACTGAGTACCTGTTATGTGCCAGGCCCTTGCATGCGCACTATTTCATGTAAAACTCAGAACAACCCCTCAAAGTAGGTGTTCCTTTGAATCTTCATATCATATATGAGGCAACTAAAATAAAGAAAGATGAAGGGAGCCCTGACCATTGTGGCATAGTGGGTTGGGAGTTGTCTCACAGAGCAAAGGGTCACGAGTTCGATTCCCAGTCAGGGCACATGCCTGGGTGCAGGTTCGGTCCTCAGTCGGGGTGGGAGGGACATGTGAGAGACAACTGATCGATGTTTCTCTCCCACTCTTTCTTCCTCCCTTTCTCGCTCCCTTCCCCTCTTTCTAAAACTAAATAAATAAAATATTTAAAAAAAACAAGACAGGTGAAGGGATTTGTCCAAGGGTCACAAGGGTTGCACAGTTAGCACATGACCAAGCTGGGATCTGAGCCAGGCCAAGTGGACTCCAGAGCCCAAACTCTGTCCCATAAGCTCTACTGCCTTGGCTGGAATTATAATTTTCTTTCTGTGTTTTTAGAAACAGAGACATTCAAAAGTGACCTGGCTTTTATTCTCCTGTAGCTCCTTCTCCCCTTTCCTGTCAACTGACAACTCTTTTCCTCTCCTTCCTTCCCAGGGCTTTCCGCTGCATCCTGATTTTGTTCGGTTTTCCCTTCCTTAGCTTTTTTGCACTGCTTATTCAAACTCCAAAGCAGGCTTCAGCTGTTCTATTCTCTCTGCTTCTCAGGGTGCCCCACAGGCAGCCTGGCCACCTCTGAGTCTCTAGGTTCTTGTAGCTTTCAGCCTTCCATATTCTTGAGCCCTTTGGGACACAGCCAGTAGCTCCCTTTGGGCCCCTAAGGACCCTTGTGTGGGCACTTGGATCTCAAGTTTTGCTTTCCCACTTGGAAGGAGAGCTGATCCCTATGTCAACATTTGTTCCTTAAGGGTTTAAAAAAAAAGCATCCAGGGGAGTGACCCGGTTTTGAAATCCAAACTGTTGGTGTGACTTTGGCTAACATCCCAATATTGATAAGCTCTGTGTTGCCCCGGGTGTGTTTTCCCTAGTTGTGTTTAATTAGACGAAGCTGCTCTGGCCATGTCAGGCTCTGGCCTTGTCCTCAAATTCAAATTTGCCCAAACACTCAAGCACAGTTCAAAGTCGGGAGATTGCCCTTAGTCCTTAAAACAGGCTTGCGTTTTTCAGACAAGGAAGTTGAGGCTCAGGGAAGTTAAATACCTTGCCTCAATGACAACTGCTCTGCTGCTAAATGGTGGAGTAAACTTTCAGACTTATCTTCCTGGGACCTCAAAGCCTTTGTACGTACATTGCACTGCCTTTGGCGGCCTCTCTTCTTTTAAGGACTTTGTATTCTGAGACCAGGCCCACAACCCAAAATCTTGTACTCCTTCCCACGTGTGCTTGCATGTGTGGGTGCTTGTGCGTGCGTGCACACACACACAGAGACACAAGCATGTGACCACACACGCATGCGCGCACACATTCCCCAAGCCCCTCTCTTTCTTTCTGCCCCCTCCCCACCCCTCCTTTCAACTACAGAAAATCCTTGTGTTTTCTCGGTTTGGTAAAGAAGAGTCTGGCTGGGCTGGATGAGGTTACACTCCACCTCAGACTCCACACTCCCGTCCCTGACCCACTATTTCACAGGCAGCCTCTGGCCAGGTGAGGACAGGGGGGTTTCTGTGAGATTAACTTCTGAGTTTGGGGCTGCCTTCATCAATTTGGCATGGTTAAGACCAAACTCCCTCAGCCCTCTTCCTCTTCCCCTGCTTCTCTTCCCTGCCTCAGCCCTGTGTTTCCATAGCCCCTCACTCATTGCCTTGTCCCCTCTACCCTGCCATATGTATTCTGTGGCTAGGCCTGGGTCAGGGCCAGTGTAGCTCATCCCAAATTTCTCCTTCTCTCTCTGCTGTGGTCTTTTCATAGAACTCCTGTTAATGTCAGCTCCCTTACTGATTCACCATTTGACCTACACCTTCTTGCTCCTCCATCAACTGTCTGACTTCCTGTGTCCCTCTGCTTTGGTGTTTTAGAAAAGCCACCATTTATGGAATACTTAGTGTGTGCTAGAGTGGTGGGTTCATTAATTATCATCCTCACAACAGCCCTGTGGGCTATCTATTGTCTTCGGTTCACATATAAGGCAAGGGAGCCTCAAAGAAGCCGAGCAACTCGCCACACAGCTGGTAAGCAAGTGCTAGAGCTTCTGTTAGGATTCATGTTGGTCCCTCATCACAGCCTGGGTCCCTTCCCCATGGCTCTGCTGCATCCACATCTATTTTTTACCCATTCAAATCCCTGTTTCTTGTCTCTATTCTCCCCTCATCTTGTTTTCTAAGTCCCTGCATTCTGCCATGCCATTCGTAACAGCTGGAAAACTTTCAAACAGCTGGAAAGCTACCCTTCCTTTAGATCTCTGAATGATCATTTACTCTAAGCTCAGCTTGCGTCTGCTTGCCTCCCTGAAAAAGATGGAAATGCATGCTCCCAAATTTCAGCCCTGTTGGCCAGCCCTCTGCGCCTACTGAGTGCACTGTATTTATCTGCCTGCAGCCCCCATGTTGGTTGCATGGCTGGTTTTCCTTCTAATCAGGGAAGGAAAAGACCACCAAGAAGTGCCCAACGGTCTCACCAAACCTTAACCCTGTGTGGCAAGAAATGTTTTAAAGAGATAAATTTGCCTAACCTGTGCCAGAGGGCCCCTCAAGTCTTCCTGGGAATTCAGCTCTTTTGCAGATGAGGGGAATCCTTGGCTGGGGAAAAAGATTGAGAGGAGAAACGACTTGGAGCCTGAAAAGAGGATAAGAGTTGGGGGCTATAAAGAGAAGCTAAGCAAGCCTGCCACCTGACAGGAGGGGCCTCCCTCCAGCTCAGAGGGAAATGCAGAAGGGATCTAAGTGACTGAATGCCACGGCCAAGAGAAGGCAAGACTCGGACCTCTCCCCCAGCCCCCATTCCTGTTCCCTGTGCCACACCAGTGTCCCCCTGTCCACCTCTCTCAGCCCCCAGCTTCCTCACCTGGCTGCTGCTGCTGTTCTTCCCGGGAATGTCTGCAGACGTGTCTGCACTATGCTACCAGGTACTGTCAGCCCAGCCCAGGGGAGGGGCAAAGAACCCAGAGCCTGAACCATACATGGCTCATGGCCCAAAAGGAACCAGACAAACATTAACCAGCCCCACCTCCTCTCACACACAATTATTAAATAAGATCGATCCCCTGAGCTTCCAATGGGTTTGGATAGACACATCACAAAGCCTGAGGTTACTGCCCAGTCCCAGAGGGAGAGAGGCATCATTGCCACCCACGTGCTCACGTTTAGCCCATCTCATTTGGGAGACTGAACTGCATGGACCTGGGCCCATCAACAGCCATCAGGCTTCCCCCACCCCTGGCCATAGGTAGACTGCATATATGGGCGAGCTGCAGAGGGCGTTCCTGCGCTCCCTTTATCCCTTATAGCTCCCAGCCTTTAAAGGGGTATGGCTCTGGGGAGGAAAAAAGGCATGGACATGCTTACTGGCACCTTGAGGTCAAGGTGGGGATGACACTACTTCCCCCATTTGGCAGTACCAGGATGCTCTTTGACTCTCTGCTTATTGTCCATGTCTTAAGTGGGTAGGGATGAACCAAAGTATTTCCAATCCCCTCCCAAAGCCCTAAAACCACTTCAAAATGCTCTTCTGCCCTCAGGGCCAAAGCAGTTGGACTGCAAGGCGTACCATGCGCAGCAACAGATCTTGGCAATCATTAAAGTAAACAAAGAATGTCAACCATTAACTGTGGCATCAGTCCAGTTTGAAGGAGGATGTACCTGAAGACCCTGCTATTCCTGTGGCCTGAATGGCAGCAAAAAAGTCAGTGAAGTCAACAGAAATTAGTTCCTTGCCTGTGTACGCCACCTCACCTCAAGCTCACTGCTTGAAAGAGAGCCAGAGCCTCGGCTTCCCTTGGCCAGACCTGGGCATATGAATACATCAATTGATGAGTCTTTACTGGACATCTACTGGGTACTCAGTATTGGATACATGCTGGGGACAGTTGACAAAAGAGGGGAAAATATCCCAACTGTTCTCGTTTATTTTTTATCCTTACATTTTGATTTTAGAGAGAGGGGAGAGAAATATCTCTGTGAGGGAAAGTACTAAACTATTAACAGCCTAATGGGCAGGGTATTGGCTCCTCAGGTTGCCTTCCCACACCTGGAGAACGAGCAGAAATAGCTAACTTCTGCATCCTTCTCACGACACCCTTCAAGCTTGACGCTTAGCCCTGTTTTTCTGGATATGACCCAGACTCCTTTCTGATTTTTCACCCCGACCACGCTACCTCTAGTGCCCTTGGATGAAAGTCCAGGATTGGAGTCAATCCTGGAACTTTTGACTACCCTCTTGCATGCAACCCAACTGGGGACCGAACCTGCAATGTAGGCCTGTGCCCTGACCTGGCATCAAAACTAGTAACCCTTCAGTTTACCAGATGATGCTCCAACCAACTGAGCCACACTGGCCAGAGCCCTAACTGTTCTTAAGACAACATACAAAGTACTTTGCAAGTATTACTTTATTTGATCCTCAAAACAACCCTATGCAGCAGGCATTATTAATATTTCCCATGTTACAGAGGAATTAAGGCACACAGAGGTTTTCATAACTGATGTCACCCAGCTAGTAACAAAGCTAGATTTGAACCCAGGCCGTCTGGCTCCAGAACTTGCTTCATTATCTCACAACTGATGAGCTCTGCAGGTCCCATTGAGAATGTGAGTAAGAACTGGTCCCTGGCTCTAGAAGGTTCTAAGCTAGCAGGAGAAATGAGATATGCACCTTAAAAAAACCCAAAGCAGTGGACATTCATTCCTCAATTTTTTAAAAAATATTTTATTTTATTTTTTATTTTTAGAGAGAGAGGAAAGGAGGGATAAAGAGAGGGAAAGAAACTTCGATGTGCAAGAGCAACATGGATAAGTTGCCTCTTGCATGCTTCCCACTGGCGATCTGGCCCACAACCCAGGCATGTGCTCTGACTGGGAATCGGACCAGTGACCCTTTGGTTCACAGGCTGGCACTGAGCCATACCAGCCAGGGTTAATCCTCAATTTTTCTGCAAGAATGTAAAGATACATTTGAAAGAACCTGATGGCTAGTAAACACAAGCCATAGCCTGCAGGCTGACCCAGTTTACAATTAGATTAGGAGAAGGAGGGCAAAAAGGTAACTTGCCTAGTTCACAAGAACAATATTGCTGGCAAACACAGTTGTTCACGAGTTTCAAACTATATCTTCCTAGAGTCAAGGGAAGGCTTGAAAAAGCCACATATAGTAAAATTGAAAATTGGATGAACATCCCGAAGTGTTAGAGACATGTACCTTTGTTCCTGCAACAAGGGAGCACGTCCTAAATGCTATCTGTAGATAGGAGCTACCAGATGGCACTCAGATGAAGAAAAGGGTAGGTTTCATGGAAAAGGCAGAGCTGGGCTCGGGTCATGAGGAGATGGAAGGCCAAACATTCCAGGTAACAGGAAGCTGCGAGATGTGTTCAGGGAATGGTGGGCAGACCCGTTTGACCAGAAGAGAGAGCTCCTATAGCAGAGCTCCTCACAAAGGGAACTACAGGCCAACATCAGTGTGTACTCATTGTTCCTTCGAGTTCTGATACGGGTTCTTTAAGGTGATTGCAGTTCTAGGTTACAGGAAGTCTATTTGAATAGTCTGTAGCTGTAAAAAAAATACTAGTCATAGAATCGACTTCTCCTCTGCCTGTTTACTGCTACTTGAACTGATCTTGTTGATGAAGTATTGATCCTTCGAGAGAGAGGTAAGGCAAGGAGAAAGAAGGGAGGACATGGGGAGGGGAAAGGTTGGAGGGAAATGGAGGGAAGAGAGGGAAGACTACTGCACTGAGCCATGTAAATCCACTTGCTCCTGGTAAGCAGCTAAAACCAGCCTCTGCCTTGCCCTGGCTGGTGTGGCTCAGTGGATTGAGCACCGGCTTGCAAACCAAAGGGTCACCAATTCCATTTCCAGTCAGGGCACATGCCTGGGTTGTGGGTCAGGTCCCCAGTTGGGGGTGCACAAGAGGCAACCACACATTGATGTTTCTCTCCCTCTCTTTCTTCCTGACTTCTCCTCTCTCTAAAAATAAATAAAATCTTTTTAAAAAATCAGCCTCTCCCTTGAATCCTAAGCCGACTTGCTTCTTACGATGGATGTTTTGGGGGAATATTGGAAGGTTTTACATCAGCCTGGTTATTTCCTTGGATTCTCTCAGGGAGACCGTCAGGGAGATGTTGACACATACAAAGTAAGAGGCCCTAAACATAAGTGTGCTGTCTCTGGCATGGCTCAGACATCAGCCCCAACAGAAGCTTTCCCCATTCCTGTTCCACCCAGGACCAGGAGACCACGTCTCGCCAGTGACATCATCGCAGTTCAGAGGTTCAGACCCCATCCACAGAATCAATGAGCAGGCTGGTGGGAGCTCTGCTCATGACATCACAGCAATCTTGAGGCTTCCTCAGATGGCATGCAGCAGCATTGCCTCGCATGTGGAGTCCATCATCCAGCCCGTCCCTGGGCCTCATTACTGAGCAAAATGTGGCGTTGTGTATGCCTTTGATCAATGAGACAGCATTGCTGTACGACTCAGAAATCAAAGTGGACAGCTTCCAATATAAATGGTGCTTAAGACACATAGGCAAAAAACTCTTCCCAAATGGGTCAGTAAGATGAAGGAAATGGGGAACCATGAAAATCTGCAGAGCATTTCAGATGTCCCTTCCCAGCTCAGGCTGCGGAAGATTATGCAAACTCAAACTGTATGTAAGGGCTGCTAGGGAAAGATGGAGGTGGTTCTATATTCATAATTGATGTTGGTTTTCAAAAGTCCTTTTCAAGAAGACACATAATTATATGAATGGGTCTCTGCCCCAGGAATTCATATTCTTAGAAAAAGTCAACTAGAGGCAGCTAATATTTTTCTGAGGGGGTTTCTAAAGTACTGTTCTTAGTGCACCAATTCACCTGACAGTTAAGCATATACCTTTTGCTTTAAGGACAGTTTGGAGTGGGGAACAAAAGCAAAGTGCTTTCAACACCTCTCTAAACTTAATTGTATGAAATATCCTAAAACCAACCCTGGCTGGTGTGGTTCAGTAGATTGAGCTCTGGCTTGCAAAGTGAAAGGTTGCCGTTTCTATTCCCAGTCAGAGCACATGCCTGGGTTGCGGGCCAGGTCCCCAGTGGAGGGCGTGAGAGAGACAACCAACTGATGTACCTCTCACACACCGATGTTTCTCTCCCTCTTTTTCTCCTTCCTTTCCCCTCTCTCTAAAAAGCAAATAAATAAAATCTTTAAAAAAGAAATATTCTAAAACCAGAGATCACATAATCAGGATGGTACATTCATTCTACCAAGAATAATGCATAAAGATGAGGCGGCGTTTTTTGGAGCTTATAGATTTCTTGGGAAGAAGAGCCTTCTGCAGCACCATATCCACTCTCTGCAATTTGAAATTCATTTTGCCCGGGTTTTTGTGTTTTATGAAGACCTTAATTCCTGGGCCTTGAGGAGTAACACTATATTTCACTGATGTCTGATCACTGCACCAACAGAGGGAATGCTTGCAAAAGATTCCAGAAAGTTCAACACCCTTTCACTAGACCAGGAAGCCAAGTGAAAAAAGTGAAATGGGAAATTGGAACTTTTGGGCTACTGTCTTTTCTTAATGTTTTTACAGATTTTATTTACTTATTTTTACAGAGAGGGGAAGTTGGGGACAAAGAAAGGGAAAGAAACATTGATGATGTGTGAGAGAAACATCAATTGGTTGCTTCTCACATGCTGCATGCCCCCAACTGGGGACTTGGCCTGCAACCCAGGCATGTGCCCTGACTGGGAATTGAACCTATGACCTTGCAGTTTTCAGGCCAGCACTTAATACACTGAGCCACACCAGCCAGGGGTGGAATACTGTCTTAATGATGCTTTTATTCACCCAGTACAGCTTGATGTCCACCTCCTGATCACTGTGCTCTAGGGGGTATAGTGCACTGTAAG